CTAGCCGATAAACTTGATATTTGTTCACAATATAGCTATTAAACAGGAAAGTGTTGTTAAATACTTTGTATTCAGAGGTACCGCGCAAAAGCACCGGTTTCAGGAGAGGCAACTATTTAAAACATTTATAAAATACATAAATTTATGGTGGCGCAGTGGCTAATCTATTGGCTTCGGCGCTACGCGGTCCGGTTTCGATGGACACACCCACGGTAGAGATGGTGCGTATTTACGTTACCAGGTATTTCCTTGCAAGTATACGAAGTATATAACTTCCTAAATTTAAAATCACGTTATTTTATATTATAGGTAAAGGAAACATAATTATCTGATAAAATGAACTATTTCGTTCAAAATGGTCAGGAACATCAAATATAATTCTTTTGAAATGAATATGTTAACAATAAGTACAAAACAATATTAAAAAAATTAATCATTAGAATACATAAAATATTCATACCAGACACATAGGCCTCGGCCTGACGTCGTCCAAAGGCAATGAAAAATTTTTTTTTTTTTTTAAATATAGTATTTTTGTGTCGTTTTTTTTCGAAAAAAGTGAATAAAATTTAACTCCTAAAAAACTATTCTTGTAAAAATTTACCTCCCGAAAAACTTCTATTCCACATATTTTATTCCTAAAATTAGGAAGAAAATTTGTAAGTTGGCATCGAATGAATTTTTCTCGGAACTCTTCTACCTCACCGTATGGATGCCGAAAGTCGCAAAAAATATCGATATATCGATATTTATAAAAATATAAATATTGGCCTCGATATATCGAAAAAAAATATCGATATATCGGTCAAATTTTCAGTTTTAAAAAAATAATGTATTTAGTTCAGTTTGATTCAATAATAAGTACTTAATAGTAATTTTTGTACCAAATTCACATTATTTAAAGGAATGAGAAATTTCCACAAAACATTAATTATTTATTCATTTTAATGTTATTAATATAAATTTCTAGGAATTTTATTTATCAAGACCTTCATTGGAAAAAACACACAACTTATTTAGTAAGATAAATCAGTTTCTTTAGCCCTGAATCTAATCTAAAATAACTAATTAAAAAATATCTAACTTTGTAAAAAAACAAAGAGTTTTTATGTTGTTTAAAACGAAGTTAATAACGGGTCAAAAAGAAACCCGCAGAGACTTGTCAATACGGGCCGAGATCAACAGAAAAATGAACAGAAAAATTTGAAAAATATTTTTTTTATTAGGGATTTTTTTAAACGTTTTATATTTTTTTATGATTATTGGCAAGTAGCGTTAGACGTGTGTTCATTTATTGTCGCGGCTGTAACGACACGCTGTATATCGGCCAAAAATATCGATATATTTAAAAAAATATCGATATCCATATATCGACACAATACAGTACAATTTTCTACACAATATTATGAAATATAAATTACATACATTTCGTATACACCATATAGATAACTTTAGTTGAATACAGCTCTTAAATTGTAAAAACTGAAAATGGTTAAAATATAGCTATATACATCTGAACTTGTAGTTCCGTTAAGTATAAAAGGATGGCGCTGTCTCACGAGGTCACTGATAACTCTATTCTCAGTATTAATACTCTGGTCTATGGTCACGAGGGACAAGAATTTTTGTGGTTGTGCACCACAGACAAATAAACATAGTACCAGAATCAGATATACAAAAGTACTCTTTGACCAGAATTGAATATTTATTCTTATGGAGAATTAGTGTCCTAAGTGGCCTTAAATAAATACCCAACACCACTCACATGTTTTGCCGACCCCATCTAGGTAGTATAAGGGCAGGAGGATGTTGATGATGATACATTTATGTAAATTTTTTTTAATGTAAACCTACAAATGTCTGAAAACAATATTAAATTTCTACAATACAGCATTCTCAAAAAAATTGGAGGGTCGCTAACTAAATATTCCTTCAAGCAATATCAAAATCAAATCATATTCTAGCATTAATATTAGTTCTGATGGGGTGGTATCAAAAATAGCTTTTCTCTCATTCCTGAATTTCTTTTTACTTGATGAAAAAATTGCAATACCTATACTATATTTTTAAATTTTCCATTACTAGTGTAAAATTAACATTAATATCTTTGTTAATACCAAGATCAAATTTTGTTATGTTTTAGAACAGTAAGCTTCAGCTAAGGAAAATGTATTTAAAAATCAAATATTGAGGTTTTCAAAGGTGGATAAATATTAACTATATCTCCTTGCAATTACAAGGTGTTAATTACGTTCTTCCATAGATAAGCAACACAGCAGACAAATGAAAAAATACTTCAGGAATTTTTATTAAAACAAGTTACTTTATGATCAAAATTTATTACATATTATGAACCCTATCTATTCAGTTAAGTTCATAATTAGCTTTATGCTTGCATTATTTTTCCACTGAAGCGCCTCGATTCAATAACCTAGATGTAACATGGACTTGCAGTTGGTCTTATTATTACTTTAATCTATGTATATTATTGTCTTTAATTTATCTATAACTAGCACTGAAGAACCATTTGCTATTTTAACCAATTTGAACTTTTTTAATACTTTGATATGGCTCAATTGACCTTATGTCTATTTTATTGAAAATATACTATCTATAAAGTTGAGAAAATATTTAATAATGCCATAGTAGAGACAATAAATAAAACTATGATTTTAGCTAAATAATGAATGATGTACATGATTGTATAAGACTAAAAAAATTACACATTAAACTATGCTTAATTTAACCTAATCCAGAACTGTTGTACTATAATAGACATGTTAATATTTAAACTAATTTTAACTATAGTAATATATAACCAATAAAGTTAATCATTCCTTGTCAATTTTATGGTTATGGGTAAAAGGTAAAAAATAATATTTAGAGTATAATGCAAATAATATTTTTAGATAATCATAAAACCATGTCATAAATTAAAATATCACAACTTAATTTTCCATACACTATGTGTGCACAAAGTTAATACATTTTCATAGTAATTTGTTGTTTTTGAAATTTCAACATATCTGTTTGAAATTTTGACAAAGAAAATGGGTTTTGTCATTAAAATATTACTGATACAAATTTAGAAATTTTTATGGATCAACAAAATAAAAACAACAATAACATTTGTTTAAATAATACAGTTTCTTATTTTTATAGTAGCTAATATATAAAACGAGTCAAATTTTTATAAAATAGTAAAATACTTACATCTACTTTATATTGTACAAGAACTATCTTAATGTTACTGGAATGTTAGAAAATATATTTAAATTGTAATAATTCAGTGCTACAAATCAATAAAATACAGATATGTAAAAATGGTGCTCAATTGTGAATTCTAAGTCTATCCATTCACTGTTTCAGTCTTTTGATATTTATTTTGAATGAACACAAATTCTTCTTGATTCATTAATTGAAACTGTCACATCTTAGTGGAAGCCTCAAGGGAGCGCAATAGTGGCGCACGGGCCATATACTAGAAACGATCCTTTGATGCATGTAGGTCCGGGTTGGTAAGGTATTGTAGCTCTTGTAACTCTTGGAATTTCTCATGGTCTCTAATATGTGCATAATTAGCAGATAAACACATTAAATAGTGTACTAAGCTCAAAATAACAAGAATACATGACACCATTGCAAGAATAAACATAAATTCGGATTTTTCAACGTAATCTTTACAAAATGCTTTTATTTTATGGGATCCACATATTTTCATATCTTCCTGTTTAACATTGGATGGAAACATAAAGTCAAATTGGGTGAAGTCAATGCATGTTGATAATTCAATGTTTTTGGGATTAGAGCACAATTTCCAAAATATAGTAAATAAGAATGTTGTAATAACAAGAAAGCCCAGCAGTACAATCCAAACAAACATTAAAATATATGTTATAATCATAAAAACTGCACATGATATTCTCCCACCAACACGAGCTCTCCATGCTCGGTAAACTTTTTGTCTTGTAGCACCTGTCGTCAAGCACCCCAAGCATAAAAGCATGAACCCAAGTGCCGCCATGCAGGCACTACCAACAATAAAAATCATTTGTAGGGCTTCGATCCAAATAAGCCGAAAATGAAAAACTTCATCGAACATAAGTATTGATAAGGCAGATCCTCGGTACATGGTTCCACAAAACACTCCCACGCCCAAACAGCACATAATAGTTGCTATGAGGGTTGCATGGGGTATCCTGGTAAGACAAGCCTGACAAGCGTCACCCATTGTTATACACTCACTGTTTCGGCGTTATTTTCATTAAAATTGTAAAAATTGGGTGTAATAATGACTACTTTTATAGCAATTGAGATATAGTGACTCAGTCAGTCAAAAAAATATCATTACCAGTATTAAATAAATGGTTTTGTATCAGTATATTTAATGTACTCTGTGTGTACCACTATTCCAGTGTAAAATACTTTGACAGATAAAAAATATTTGTGGAAAAATAAAGAAATCTGTGGTAAACATTATAAAGGAAGGAAAATAAACTTCCATAGATGTAGACAACAACAATACACAATAAACGTAGTGGTTATATTCTCTTTGGTAGACAAAAGTCTAGGTAGATGTATAGAATGTCATGCTTTTAGTTTCAGTACTATAAAAAGTATTCTTTATAAATGGAACGTTGAAATAAAAATGTCTTCACATTTTTATTAATATAATAATTTTTTTCAAAGACTATCGTATTCCAAGCTATTGGATTTTATTTTATTACAAAATATTTTTATTAAAAATCTTAATTACTATTGATGCATGCTTATTTTGTTTTTATTATCGACAAGGATATACTTATGTTAGATTACTCATATAGGTATCCAAATGGTTTGCCACGTCAAAATGACAGCGAATCATCTGATTGATTACTGATTATTTTCTAATATAATGAATGTGATGAACCCTATGTTAATTTTAATTTATACCACGTTTCACTTAAATTTGTGATATTTGTTTTATATTTGAGTGAGTTAAATTTGTAATATGTGACAAAATGGAACAGCTCTATCATCAAACAACACAATTAATACAAGAAACAACAGATTTGTTTCAAAAGTTAGAAATAGATCCTTCGGAGAGTATAGAAAATGCAATTCAATCAAAAATTAATGCTATTACTACGTAAGTTACGTTATTTGATTGTTATTATTTTTCCCTTCCATGAATGGAGTTTTTATATGATATGCTTTGAATGATTTAAACCAGCATCCGATACCTAACCTTCTATTGGTTTATTTTGCAGAAACTGTGAAAAGTTGGATATTTTTGTCTTCAAGACTCCTATCAACCAACGGCCCACGGCGAAATTGAGGGTTGATCAATTAAAATATGACAATAAACACATACAGGTAAAGTTTACATACTTGCATATTGCCTTTTTTTAGTATATCAATATTTAAGTAATTCCTAAAGATGCCGCAAATACTTGCTATTATTAGGTATTCGGCATTACTCAACTATTTTTCTTGTTACTGGTTATCAAATAACATTGTCTATTATTTTATATTTGGCGAATAGCCGTCTAAACTTGATAAACAAAAAAGAGAAGATGAAAACAATCCAATTTAAATTTTTCTTAAAAACAAAACGTAGTAGTGTAAATCAAACCGGCCTCAGAAAATAGTCTTTCTAATTAAACAGAGCCTGCTGGTATGATTAAGTATTGTTTAGTAAGTTTTCTTGAAGTGGGAAATACTCGGCAGTGGGTTATACAAAAGGTAATCCCAGTAAATTATATTTTGTGCCTCATTTTTGTTCCTTTTTTTTGTTGAATAACAATGGTAAGTTATTGGAATATTCAACATAGGGGATGGTGATCAATTGGTATTCAAATATTTGCTATGAAAACTATCTGCAGCATCTCTGGTAATATTAGGAGCATGTTCGGTTGTATAAATTGTTAGTAATGTTGTATGTTTTTTGGCATATAATTTAAATGTTTTAATATGTTCTTGAAGTTTATTTAATTTACCGTTTTACATAATGTGAGTTGCTTCTATGAATTGATCAGACAAAACTGCATAAAAAGCCTGGATCATCCTAATTATATAGAAATGATACGAAATGTTTTGACAATAAACGCAAAATGTAGATTAGAAATGTAAAAAAAATACCTGTTTTCTTCTTCTTATTTAAGTCCCCAGAGTCATCGATTTTACCCTTTCAACAACACATTACATTATAATAGTTTTCTATATCAAATGTATAGGAACTTGCTGTTCGTTAAAATTGTGAGATCTTTTGACTAATGTTGATAAGAAGAGCTTACCTAAGAAAATTTTAAACACTGTTGTTTTATATGAACACCAATCGAATTGATAATCTCCTCCTTGTGAAGTTGGTTAAAAATATAAAACATTGAGAATGAAAACTTTAAGAAATGACTCTGGATCATAAATTGTATAACAATTGAGGATTTCTTTACACTTATTAAAAAATTTATAAAACACCATGAGTAGGAACTGTAAGTAATAATTCTTTATGTTATAAATGAATCTTCTGTTATAAATTGCAGGTACAGCTTATCTGATTGGTACGCCTTGCAAATTTTTCATTTAACCAACATATTTAATGGTCACATTCCATCAATCTATTATGTCACTTTAAGCATTTTCTTCCGTTTCCATATTACAAATTTATAATATACATATATGATCTAATTTTTGTGTTTTAATAAAATACAGAAATAATGTGCGTTCTTCGTTTACAAATATTTTAATACCAGCTGTGTAATTTCCGAGATGATAAATTACTTAACCTTTTCTTTTATATATATGTATTTATTAATTTTAAAATAAATTTTATTAATTTTAAAATAAATTTTATTAATTTTAAAATAAATTTTATTAATTTTAAAATAAATTTTATTAATTTTATTAATAATTATCAATACTTGTGATTACAATACTTTATTCTTTTGAGAGTATTTTTCAATCCAACAGGCGTCTCTTCTTAACGCGCAAAATAAGAGGCGGAGACGGGAGCAGGAATTAGCGGATAGAGAGCAGTTGTTAAGTCGAAGGTTTGGTCATGACCATACAGCCATTAATGTTGATTTCCTAGCACAGGAACAAGCGTCTTTGCATAATTCGCATCGGAATGTTGATGAAATGCTTCATACAGGTTTGTACTTATTTTCATAAATATACACAAATAAATATTTTAGAACATATTTTTACAAACCGCTCTCTATTCCCATTAACCAACACTTGCACTATGGGTACTAGATAACATACTTTTCTTTTGTTTATAAATACATATGATACATAATTATATAAACGCCCAGACAATGGTTAGGAGACTATCTGGTCTTCATCTGATTACTGAAATAATAAAACCACCTAATGCTTAAGTTAGCCGAACTTAACATGTACAAATCACAAAACACAGTGTTTCCCTCCAATAAGTACGACATCTTGTGATTATTTTTGAACCCTCCAATAAGTACGACATCTTTTGATTATTTTTGAAGTTTATAAGTTTGTATGATACTGTTGGAATACCAAATAAAATAAATGAATAAATCGTCGTCGATAGCATATATTTTGTTTTGCGCGTGTAAGCGAGAATAGATGTTGCCCTTGAATTACGTTTTTACAAAAGAATCGCTACGTTTTTCCCACATCATTAGCCAATGAATGCTATCGAGCCTTGGATTTGACCTTCGAATCAAAGAAACTTTAAAGTGTCATTCTCATCCCATTTAATTCCGAACCCTCGGTAACAAAATCTATTATTATGAGGCATTTTAATTATTTTATGGACAACTTTTCGTGGGCTAGGCTAAAAGATAGTCCTAAGTGAGCAAAGCTTCTGATTTTTTGTGTTTGTAGATATGTTGTTTTCACCCAAGAAACTTAAAGGACAAATAATAGTAGTTATTAGTAGTCTATAGACCGTTTATACACATGTTATGTTTTGGACACTAACATTAATGTTATGTCTGTGCAAATTTCCTATTCTTCTGTGCTCAATAAATGCAATAAGTTGGGTACCAACATTTAGCATTAGAAAGGGTAAATAAAAATATTTTTTAAATAGGTTCAATAACATAATTTCGTGTAAAATTAAAAAAAATATGTTTATAAGAAATTAAATTTTGTCTTTTTAAATTTTCTTATATTCAAATAAGTTTTATTTATACATTTCGCAATCTTACAAGATTATTTAATATGTTAGATTAAATGTAACAGTTAGTGTGTAAAAGTTATAAATGTCCAAGTTTAAACAAATACCAGCAATAAATAATCACAATATAAATAAACACCGTAACTTAATTACCTTAGAAAAACTAACAATTTAAGGCAAAGTTAAACTCACCACATTTTAAGCGCCTATTTTTCACACTGCTACGTTAATCAATACTGAGTATCCCTATAATTTAGACATTTAAAACTCATGAGTGTCAACTGCACAAAAACAAATGTTTAACAAATTTTGGCGGCAACAAATATACAAATAATATAATCAACTTTGAACATTCGTATAGTTAACAATGTGTCGTCCACAGATAGAATAAAATTGTTTATTATATGATCTTGACATACAAACTGGTTTTAGATTAACGCACATCTAAGTATGTTTTCTTAGCACCACTAATTCTCAAAGAGAATTGTCACACTTAATGTCATTAACCACAAGTTCGGTACGACTAGATTAGTATTTTTATTCTTAAACAGTCTTGTATTCTGTTTAGTAATTATAACGTTTAATAGCTATCAACGTTCTTATAGATAATACAACTACTACTACAAACATATTTTCTAGACCTTACGGACATCTTTAGTCGAGGTAGGGATATAGTTTACATGTTACATTGGATAAGCGTTTAATTTCTACTTGAATGTAGTCTCCGTTACAATGCGCAATTTCTTGAGGTCACAGTCATGTTCTTGGTTGCTGACTTTATGACCTCAAACTTTCAACTTCCTTAAATTTTAATTTTATCATACATGGTTTTGAGAATTTGTTTTGATACATCTTATAGTGCTGATATAATGTCAGCTGTATTGTTATTAAGAGTTTAAAAAAAATCTATTCCATCTAAATTAATATATAACCATTCTTATATAAATTCCTTTAAACGACGTCTTGCTGTTTAATCCTTTTAAAATGTATATTTAATATAAGACTACGGATAAGGCTAAAATTTCGTAATAGTATTATTATAAACTTTTCATTTCATTAGCTATATAACAAAAATGGAAACATTAATTTATCACGTATACATAATCATGTACACAGTATGGAATTGGAAATTGAAATTTAACATTTAGTTGATATAAACTTGCTTAACTTGTTTATTTCCAGGTTCAAATATTTTGCAGACACTGAGGTATAACAGAGACACTTTGAAAGGTGCGCATAGGAGACTGATCGATTTGGCGAACACCCTCGGACTTTCAAACGCGACTATCTCGTTGATAGAGAGGAGGGTAGCCCAAGACAAATATATGTTATTCGGTGGAATGTTTGTCACTCTAACTGTGATCGTGCTTGTAATTATGTTCTTGTTATGAGTGATGCAGGCCACATGAGGTCTGTGTAACCTGCGCTTTATAGTAACAAATGGTTACGGATCACACATGTTTATTACAAAAAGATTAAGTGTAAGATTGAAATGTTTTGTATTATTAAAGGTTATCGCTTCGAACTAGCGTTTTTATTCAATAAGTCTTTTCCGCAAAGTTTTTAACTGTACGAGTCAGTACTTAACTGTAGTTTTTGACTGTACTAGTTCTTGGTTGAATTCAATTGTGGTAAATTAACTATGAAACCATTATACGACATCTTTAATATTTCTCTAGTATTCATTCTAAACACATTGATCCAACTGTGGTAAGTTGTTGTCCTTAATAAAGGAATTTGAGTAGTTGCAGAATGAGAAACCTGTTTGCACTGAGTGAGGAATAACCTTTACATGGTTTATAGCGTAGCAACAATCGAAACTTAAATAAGTGGAGTCCTAACAAGGTTTTTATTTTAAGGGTTTTTGTGGATAAATTAAAATATACAACATAATTAAATAATAAATGTGCCTCCCCACGGGAACGCCACAACGTATCTGTATGAAGGGGGAAATATTAGCACCCACCCATTTCGTCCCGATGGTGCCTTAGGAGGCGACCAAGGGAAAAATCCGACAGTTTAGCAACATTGATACCTAATGGTAACTTACGAACATATTAATTTCCTTGTAAAATTTCGACGTTTCATAAGAACGCGCAAGTGTCTATGTGAATAAAGATATTTTTTTTTAATGTATTTAATCCAGTAATAAAGTACAATAACATAAATTATTCTCTGCCAAACTGTGATGCAGTTTGTCGGCAGCAGTTCTCGTAAATAGTTACATCGATGTACTTCAACCTTACTAATATGACACCTATGTATAATATCTATATATATTTGTCTATGTATAATATGTATATATCATCTAAATACAATTTCTTAATTATAAGTACCTTTAATATATAAGTTTATCAATTCATAGTATTTTAGAATAAAATAAAATAAGTATCAATTTACTTGGTTGCGTGTGTGTGTGTGTTTATGTTTGTGCGTGTATGTACGTGTGTGTGTACTTGTGTCTGACACTACAGAGTTGACTAATTACGGACATAGGCATAGGTAATGTTTTCTTAATTTGTTTTTCAGCTCATTTTTATTTTTTGCTTCTAAATAAGTGTTACGTGGTAATTCATTAATTAGGACCGGTGCAATCCAGCGTCGTTCCCGCTTACCATATACATTTTTTACTCTAGGAATTACAAGACTTGGCTTTCTTGTTGAGCGAATTGGATATATATAATCCTTTTCTTGCCTATACTCATTGTTGTTAATTTGCTCACATAAGATGTGCAGTTTTACTTTAAAATCTACCGGGAGAACTTTACATATCTTAAACAGCCTTTCATATTCGTGATTGAGTGAATCTTTAACCTTTTTACTAACTAATAACTTTAATAATCTTATTTGCAAGTTTTTTATTTTATTTAAGTACGTAGGAAAAGTGAGACCGTAAGCCCCCAATCCGTATGATATAATTGCATCGGCCAATGCATGATCAAGTAGGTACATAAAACCTTTACTTACGATAAATTTTAAGTGTTGCAATTTTCCAAGAATAGACCGCAATTTGTTACATGCATAATCAATGTGTAACCCCCAATTAAAACGATTGTCAAAATTTAGCCCCAGTTACTTATAATTAGATACATTTTCCAACTTCGAACATTTGCAATCAACTTGGTTTCTGTGTAAACAGTCATATGTGTGTCCAGGTATTTCAATGTTAATACCCTTGTTTTTGTATGGAGACACTATTTGCATACATTTAGTTTTATTTAGATTAATAATGAGCCCATTGTCGTGAGCCCATCTGATAATATTATCAAAATCTTGTTGTGCTTTTTCCTGAATAGCCAGTTGGTTGGTGTCGCTGTATATAATGTACGTATCGTCAGCGTACATGTATGTCCTACAGTTTTTAATAATATTAGGCATGCTGTTTACGTGCATTAGATACCCGACAGGACCAAACACTGATCCAGTAGGAACACCATACTGAATGTCAACCGCCTTACTATTCATTCCACATATGCGAACTTTTAATTTCCCGTCCTTTAGGTACTCTCTAAACCATACATTAATCGGTCCCCTAACACCACATTCCTGCATGGCCTGCAGTAAGCCCCCGTGATTTAAAGTGTCAAATGCCTTTTTGAAATCTATGAAAATAGCAAATACTGTTTTTTTATCGTTAAGAGAACTATTTACGTCATCCACGAATTTACATAGAACCGTAGCCGTGCTTCTCTTAGGACGAAAACCATGCTGAGCGTCGTTAATAATTTTGTGATTTTCCATAAACTGTGTTATCTGGCTAACAATAATTTTTTCTACAATTTTATTTATTACATTCAGAATAGCGATAGGTCTGTAATTAGTGAATTGATCATGCGGTCCCTGCTTATAAATCGGCCTTATAATCGCTAATTTTAGTTCGCTACGATATGCTCCTTTTTGTATATATAAATTTATAAATCGTGCAATTACGGGGGCAATTTTAAATTTTATCCCCTTCAAATCAATTACTCTAATACCGTCTGATCCCGGGGTTTTACTACAGTCGAAATTCTCTATCACTTTTAGCACTTGATTAGGTAATACTTTTCTATATCTAAAACTCACAATACTTTCCTTAACATAAATGTATTACGTTTTAAAAATAACTCTGAGCATTTGTGTTGACTTTTAATTTGTTCTATTTCAGTAGTAAACGTATCACAGAATCCCTCGCAAACTTGATAAGTAGTATATTTATTTAGCATATGCTTTTCAACTGTATAATCCACTAATATATTCTATTTCGCCCTAACCAATGGTTAATGTTGCTCCAAATTTTCCTCATGTCACCTTTACAATTTAATAATTCACGTTTTCTTTTTTATTTCTAGCACGATTTATGAGTTTATTTACGTAATTTCTCTGTCTTACTCTAGTCTGTAGTTATTATTGTTTGGCTGTGATTTCCATTTCCTAAAGAGCGAGTCCTTATTCTCAATTTGTTGCTGTAAATAACTACTAACCCATGGCTGTGTGTTTCGTTTTGCTTTTTGAGTGCGATGGATGGTACGTGTTTTATAGACATTTTGAAAAATATATACAACATTATTGTTGATGGGGATCTTCTATAAGCATTAATTCCGACCAAATGATACCATCGAGTTTTTCAAATATCAATTTATTATTAAACACTAACTGCTGAGTAGACTGTTCTAATTGTTTATTTATTCTTAAATCAGCTGTGAGTCCAATTACGTAATGATCAGCGATCCTACTCGTGACTATATATGCCTGGAGAGAACTTACTACCTTGTCAGTCTGCACGAAGACGTGGTCAATGCATGATGCTACGTGTCGTCCGGAGGTACCACACTCCCGAGTGTTATCAAGTATCGCGCAAAGCACCTATTTGAGACCGCATCTAAACTGTCTTCTTTTATGTTGATGTTGATATCACCAATAACTATTAAATTGCACCTTTTTGAAATGCTGTTTAAGATATTTTCTAATTCCGCTATAAAACTTGTTTTATTTAGATCCGGAGGCCTATAGATTACAAATATTTTCGCTTTATAATTTTTAAGTTGCAGCTCACCTGCCAATAACTCACAGTATTTACTACACATTTCTGTTCTTATAAATGTTATTTCTCTTCTTATATAGATTATTATTCCCCCACCTCTTTTATTATTTCTTGTCTGAGCATACATATTGAAGCCGTTTAGATCATACTTGTATATTTCAAAATCTTTGATGTTTATTTCGGTTAGGCATATAACATCTAAGTTATGTAGGCATGCATTAAGTAGAACTAGAAGTTCTCCAAAGTGTAGCCGCAAGGAACATACATTTATGTGTATTATTTGGAAACATGTAGACTGTGTATTTAGTGCTTCATACCACTCTTGTACCTCCGTGTATTTGTGATACTGTATATCTTGAATGTTATGTTGAGAGATAAAATTGGATGTCATTAAAAAAAAATATATATATATATATATATATATATATATATATATATATATATATATATATATATATATATATATATATATTTAGCTGTTTTAATAGCCGTTTAGCTCAGTGGCTAGAGCGTCAGGCCGCAAAATGCCGAAGACGTGGGTTCGATTCCCACAACGGCGACAATCTTTTCGCACTTTTTCTACATATTTTAATATTAAGATATAAATATAAAGCATATATTATATTATATTATTATTATTAATAACGATCCCCTTATCTCCCCCCTCTCTGTTTAAACGCCGGCATTTTAATTTATTAGCAAATAGTTATGCCGATTGTTTAATAACGAAACCAGACCAGGTACTTTAAACCCTTGTAGGTAAAACCCTAGTCAATCAATATCGTGCTATTTCTCTCATATACTTACGTTTAGAATTTTTCAGAGGACATTTAAAAACTATGCTTTCTTATGTTCTTATGATCCTTGGGAAGTTTTATTGTATTTTTACAGTCTCTATTGTTTTGTTGCTGTTGTGAAAGAAGTTTATTTAAATAAATACATATTTTAAGATACATTTTTACACAACGTTTTCTAGTCGCGAACTAAGCAACGCTTGTACTATGAGTATTTGATAACTGATAAACATACTTAAACATACTTTTCTTTTGTAAATAAATACTTATTATACATATATAAATATCCAGACACTAGAAAAGCACTATGTTCTTCACACAATATTTTTTTTAATAGTGGGGATCGAACGCGTTAATTTTCCATTTTATTATTTTATGCATGCACATGCTTTTGAATGAACTATAAAATTAATACGATTTCCTTATGTTAAAATCCATGAATTTTATTTTTCGCTTTGATTATAGATTTTTTACTTCACAGTTTCAGTTAATGATACAATCCTTCCGCCGGTAGTGTTTACATTATTATCGGACGTACCCCTGCCCTGACATTGGATTAGCTGAAGTGCAT